GTTCAGCATGTAGCTGCCTTTAGAACCACAACTCACATCTCCTCCTGCCTTCCAGATGTGACTGAGTCCTTACCTTCTCATTCATAGCAACTCACCAATGAAGATCTAATTGAAGTGCAGGAAAAAGGGTGCATTGGACAGTCACCATGGAAACTGCCCCTCCCACCACATTTACCATTCAAAGGCTTCTGCAGGCATTCATGTACAACAAATTAGCGAAGAAAGATTTCCAGACTCATTTGAAGGTGTTTAAAGACAAAGAATGCCTGTGGTTTCTAGCGGGAGATGACTAGGAAAAGAATTGTCTTCAGTTCCAGTTTCCGTGGCAGAATAATCTGTTGAGACATTACAGTGTATTTTGTTTTTGCTGTAATTTTCCTTCCTTCCCCCATCTTCTGCTAATGATTGCCAGTTCATAGTGCTTGCTAGTCGCAGAAGTGGTTTATATTGCTGGGCATAAAGTGGAATCTCCTCAAAGATCATCGCCCCTCTCGTTTTTTAGTGAAAGTTCAAGTTTACTGAAAATAAATAAATAAATAAGCTACAAGTCTGGGTGGGATGGGGAAGCAAGAAACCAATTTCTTTAGAGGTCAGACAGATCAGTGAAAGCTGGAAAGTTTCCGTAAAGGAGTCAAGACCTGTGACTACCACTGAAAGAATTCATGTTAAAAACTGATCAGTAGTAGCTGGTGCTCTTAGGAATTCAGGGCCTGAGATACTGGGATTTCTAGCAGTAATAAATAACCTAACTTCCAATGGAAGAAAAGGCTAGTGGCCTGTAAACTTCCAAGAGACCATATTTCAGAGACACTGGTATCTCTGCCTTAACCACTGTGTCCTAAGGATTGTCAGTGCCTTCTGATATATGATCCTGGAATCAATGAGTGACTGTATAGAAGGTTAGGGTGACTAGGGGAACATTGACAATTTTCCATCATTTTCATTAGCTAGAAATTCAAGTTATATTTAATTGTAATCATCTAATATGACATTTAATTTTATTCATCAAAGTTTGTGAAGTAAAATTCATACCCACTGCACTTTTTTTGAAACAGGTATTTTACAAAGCCTCAGTCAGTTGAACAAAAATCCCACCACAAAAAAAAGGGTACATTTGTGACACATTTTTTATATTGTTCTTATTTTGTCCGCTTAATAAACATGATTGTCCCTCAGTATCTGTGGGGGATTGGTTCCAGGACTCCCTCAGATAACAAAATCTTTGGATGTTCAAGTCCTTTATATAAAATGGCATAGTAGGGGGCTTGGGTAGTGGCTCAGTGGTAGAGCTTAGGATGTGTGAGGCACTGGATTCTATTCTTAGCACAGCATACATAAATAAATAAAATAAAGATCCATTGAAAACTAAAAACCATTTATAAACAAATAAATAAGATAAAATGGCATAGTATCTGCTTATAATCTATCCCAATGTTTCATATACTTTAAATCATCTCTGTTGCTCATACCTAATAAACTGTGATATGTAAATAGTAGTTATACTGAAGTTGTGTTAAGAAATACTGACCCAAAAGAGTCTGTATATATTTAGTACAGGTGCAATTTTTTAAAAATATTTTTTATCTGAGATTGGCTGATTCCACTGATGTGTAACCCATTGATACAGATGGCTATACTTAAAAATGCAAGAATTTCACTTATTTTGTGATAAATAAGTGTCATAAATCTGACTTGTCACATTAAAGCCTATGCATTCCAAAATCAGGGGTGGCCTGAATGGTTCTGTACTGCCCTCCAGTGGGAAAACTAGACAGAAGCATTTCTAGAATGGAAAATGGACTGGTTTGTTTCTAATGTTGGCAAGAAAAAATAGAGATAAAAGAACTGAAGGCTATTTTCCTCCCAGTGTGTTCAGAAATAAGTGTACTGTTGAATGATGAGTCATTCGGCACCATGACTTCTTATTACTTGGAAAGGAAATTTTATGAAATACTATTTAAAACAAGTTTTTCTGACAAGTCAAAAAAAGACATCCAATTTTTGACATAAACATCTTCAGCATTCTGAGTCTCTACATGTCCTTATACAATCTTGCTTTTCTTCTACATAATTATTTAATGATGATCTTGTAGTCTGTGTCATAATGCCACATTTATTACCAGAAGATCATTAAAGATCTATAAGGAAATTAAGCAGATTATCAGTCTTTCAAAGAATCTGATTGATATCCATGATAAGCTTACATTAAAAGGTTTACTTGGTTCTTATTTACTGTCTAAATAAGTATTTAAATGCTGTTTTCTATAAAATTTAAATTTAGAGCTGGGGTTGTAGCTCAGCCCTAGAGCACTGGCCTAGCACGTGTGAGATACTAGGTCTGATTTTCACAACCACATATAAAAAAATAAATTAAAGGTCCATTGACAACTAAAAAAATATTTTTTTAAAATAAAAATCTAGGGCTGGAGATATAGCTCAATTGGTAGGGTGCCCACACAAGGCCCTGAGTTCAATCCCCAGCACCACCTCCACATACACAAAAAAAAAATATATATATATATATATATATATATATATATATATATATTTTATAATAAATACATATTTAAAACAAATATATATTAAAATATAGTGTATATTAAAATCCAATTTTAAAATATCCAAATTAACATATTACCAGCAGACAGTTGTGATTACAAATTAAGGCGCTACATGATTTCATGTTTTTAAACAAATTTTCAAAATATATTAATTCTTTTTAAAAAATAAAAGCGAACAAAATCATGAAAACATTCATGTTTCCTCTTTGGTGAACCAAAAGATAAGCCTATAGTATGGTACATAAATATAGCAGACTTTTCCACTTTGTTCAACAAATCAATAGGTACTAAAATATCAAAATTGTCTTTAAAAAAATGCTTTTCCACTTCATGAATCTTCTTCCAGGCTCTAAAAGCAAGAGAGGTAAAACATAACAGAAGTTTAGCTGATGCAGTGGCACATGCATGTAATCCCAGTGGCTAAGGAGGCTGGGGCAGGAAGATCGCAAGTTTGAGGCCAGCCTCAGCAATTTAGTTAGGCCCTGAGCAACTTAGTGAGAACCTGACTCAAAATAAAAAATTAAAAAAAGAGCTGGGAATATGGCTCAGTGGTTAAACACCCCTGGGTTCAACTGCCCTTGAACACTCACTACAAGAAGGAGATGCCTGCTGAAGATCTGGAAAGTCAATGTCTCTCAAATTAACTAACAGATCCTAACACGCTATCAGGGTGCACTGGGGCCTCCTACCCGAGTACACCTGGAATGTAAACCTGGAAGATCCTTTAAAACCCCCCTATCCCTCCTAATTGGGGCTGTCACAGCCTTTGGGACAGGAGTTTGTTTCCTGTGGTTCTCCTTTTATAGTAAAGCAATAAATCTTTTTCCTTTTTCTCAAAACCGTATCCTCATTATTAAATTGGCATCGATTGGCATTGGGGACAGGGACCGAGCTTTTGGTTACACCAGGAGGAAGAAGGGGGCCATAGCTGGTATCCTGGCATCCCAAGAAGTGAGGGTGTTTTGCCTTTTTGTCTGTCCTAGGTTTCCTTTGTTCTCCTGCTCTCTTCCCCTTATCTCTCTCCTTCCTGTATAAGTGAGTAGGCCCAGAAGATGCTCAGAGGGATGGCCAAAAGGTGAGAAGCAGATGGGCTGGAGGGGCCAAGTTGGAGTGCTCTGAACAGGAATGGGGCATAACTAACAACTTCCAATAGGGAGGGACAATCCCTGAGGCAGGTTACCTTAGCAACAGGTTGGAGCAGGGGCAGGTTATCTCAATAGGGTGGAAGAAGGACTCTGAAGGAATATTCAGATCCTCCATTCTCTGGGTCTGACCTTGCCCGCCTGCCTAATTCTGGCTTCAATCGAGTCTATTCTAGTAAATTACAACACTTTGGTTATGTTTCAAAATAATACCTAAAATATAGCAAATATTTCCTGCGTACCAGATACAGCACACACTATCTCATTTAACTTCCTAAGACCCATGTGAGACAGGTACCATTTTTATTCTCACTTCACAGGTAAAGAAACTGAAGAGTTCATTAATTTGCCTAAGAAAGATGGACTCTGGTGCAAGATTTAACAATAACATGGTTTATTTGAAAGGAGGAGCCTTCAAGAATTCCTAATTATTTTTTAAATTTTCTGTTTAATATTCACGTGGGTTGTCCCCCCCCCCCATGTCAAAACTTTACATTTTGCTCAGAAATCCCTAAGTTTCTGAGCTACCATGCGTTCCTGTTTAGTGAGAAAAGCACTGTTATTTCTGTCTTACAGAAATCAACTTAGTGAGTTGGGGGTGTCAGAGAAATGATGTGACTTACCAAAGGGCAAACGCTGACCTAGGACTTCAACCCTTTGCATGTTTTTGTGTTTGTATGTGTGTATGGTGCTGGGGATTGAACCCAGGGCCTTATGCATGCAAGATAACCAATTGAGTTATATACCCAACCTTCAACCCTTTTCATGTGAACAACTTCAGGCATGGGAGGTTGACTGGAGAATATTCTAAAGATCATGGCTCATTACCACCATAGGACACTGTCAGGGAGCCAGAAATTTTATTTTACAACAGATATGCAAATGAGAACAGGAATCAGCATCAAATATGTCACGCTTTTCATGTTGCCTAGGAGTTCTGGCGAAGGCCTCAAAAGCTGAGAACTAGTGTTATCCATTCTTTCGGTGCTGTCCCTCAGCTCACTGGGGCCTCTGGGAGAGGAACTAGGAAAATGGCGCAAAGCAAGGCCAGGTTTAGGCACACCCACATGAAGCCAGTTTAGAACTGCTCCCTCTGCTCTAACGAGTGGCTCTACCTCCATCTGCATATTCCCGCACTACCGTTTTGTTCTCAGGTGCATCTACAGCACCAAAGGGCCACAGGCCACACCAACGCCCAGTACCGGAGAAGCCTACCACTAGCAAACCTTCGGCCCCACCAACCGCCCTTGCCTAAAGGGGAAGGGGTGGGACATCCGCCCGGTCCGAGCCTCTTCCGGAAGTTACGTAGGAGTGTCAACATGCAAGATGGCGGCTCATCACCGGCAGAACACGGCCGGGCGGAGGAAAGTGCAGGTATGGGAGCCCGGCTCCTCGGCCTTCTGAACGCGGCCAGCCGGTCCGGACCCACCTCCAGCGGGCAGATACCCCACGCCGCGGCCAGCTGGGGTGGTGGCTTGGGATGAGCGGGGCGGGACGCGGCCCGCGACGAGGGGTGGGGCCGTGGCGCTAACGGCTAAAGGAAGGGGAGGGGGGCTGCCGTTTGGCCGCGAGGCCAGTTCCCAGATCCTCGCTGCAAGGGTTCTGAGCCCGGGATGGCTGGTGTCGTCTGCCCTATAGGAGTGTGCGGGGTCGGGAGGTGCTAGTTCCCCGCCCACCTGCCTCCCCTGTCCCCTGCTTTTCTCCGAAGCATCTGCTTTCGCGGGCAGGTCCCCTGGAGGAGGTCCCCTGGCGCTTCTCGGCAGGTGGGCGGCAGAGGAGTTAGAGTTACCGGGCCAGTGCGGGGGCGTGGCGGAGGTAGCGGCTGGCCTTGCGGGGTTTCTGCGGAGGATTCCGCACGTGGGAGCTTTCCCCAGGGGTGAGGTGGGAACGCCGTGCGAGTCTGCTAGTGTTCTTGGGGAAATTACAATATTCGTTGTTTTTGAATTGAATTTCTTACTTAGCATCTTCCTGTCAGTATGCATCCTCGAATCGTTTTTTCTTGTTTCTATAATTTATTATATATTAGTGAAGAGTTATCTCACCGTACCTTGTGCGCATTGTGTCCTCACGAATTCACTTTTGTTTGAACTATGTTTAGGAGTTTTTGTTACCTTGCATTTGCAGCAGTACAGGCAGTAAAAGCCTGTTACAGATGAATGCCTGCAGATTTATTGTATATAATGGCGATAAGGTACATTTATGTACTAAACACTTACAGGGCACTTAGATTGGCCCCAAAGAGGGAAAAGAATTGAGAGGGTATAGGAATCAGTAGCACCCAAGCTTTCTGTATAAAACAGAGCAGTATGTGTTGTTCTACAAGTTGAAATCAGTGAGTCTTTAGTAGATAGTGAGGACTAAAGGATCCTTCAGTAAAATAATCCTAGCAAAATGTTATAGGCCACAAAGTCTTCTGAATAGGTAATGTGTCTTATTGATCCTATTGCTTAGTACAGTGTCCTAAGCACTCAGATTTTGTTTGAGTGAAATTAGCTATCGAATATAGCTTACCCTGTTAGTTGAATTTTATGTGCATTAATGACAGGATTTAAGTAATCCCAACATCCAGGCCAAGTGGTGAAATTGTCTCATCCCGACTACAAAGTAACTCAAAATTGTAGTTTGATAGTATTCAGAGCCTAGGGGAGTATGCTCTGAGAAAGAAGGATAATCAGGTCTCTCAGTTTCTTGCGTTGAGATTTGCAAAAAGACGACTGTAATAGAGCAGCATGGGGAAGATGAAAAGTAACTGCATCAGGTGTGGAAAAACAGTGTTTTAATAACCTGAATGTGAGCCAGTGCATGTATAATGAGGGAGGTGACAATTCTTCTCTTCACTGATCAGAGTGTTCATCGCTTTGTTCTTAAGTAGCAACAGCAATTAAATTGGTGAAGTGACTTGAAACCATTTCCTATCAAGAGCATTTAAAGAGCTAAGATTAGCCTACTTAAAAGATTCAGGGAGCTTTCAGAATTTGTCCCCAAAGTATAAAAGCAATGTTAGAAGCCACAGAGATTGATTTCATCTCAAACTTCATTTTGCATGGAAGTGTTTTTTGAACTAGTGCATATTCATTGCAATAAAAACCCACAAACAGTTCAAAAGTATAAATTGTAGTTGGCCTCCACTCTTCAAAAAAAGCTACTGTGGGCTGTGTGATCTATAATCTTAGACCAGTTTCTGAACCTGTGCCCTATTGGCTTTTTAGGCTGGCTCTTTCTTTTTTGTGTAGGGATAAGGGGAGCTATAAGTTGTTTAGTATCACCTCTGGCTTCTACCCACTAGATGTAGCAGCACCTCACCAGTTATGGCAGTCAGAAATGTCTCAAACATTTTCGAACATCCCTTTGCAGACAAAATTGCTGCTAATTGAGAACCACTGTCTGTTACCTCTTCCTGTTTATGTACCTGGCTTTTGTGGTTTTTTACTTAAATGGACCCATAGTGTTTACTGCTATCTTGCTTTGCCAAGATTTTAAATAAACATTTCCTTTGACCCCCAATTTCTTATTTAAAAATTCTTTTATTCTACATTAGTACATATGTTTAATCTGTCTGTAATTAGGCAAGAGAGTGTATTGTAGGAACATTGTCATTGTGAAAAACAAAACTAAATATCCATCATTGGAAGCTAAATGTCTGCAGTTGTCAAATTATGACATGAATATAGAGAATTATTTTGCAGTTGTTAAAAAGATCAGCCAGAGCCATTTAATTAAAATATGTCCAGAAGTCAAATGAGCAAGTCAACATAGTATGATCCCATTTCCACAAAGGAAATAATGGCATTTTTAGAATCAGGAAGGTTATCAACAGTGATTATTTCTTTGGGGTTAGCCTATGTTATTATGAATAAGACAGGACATGGGATAGCTTTTATTTTATGCATCTTTACATATTTTTCAACTTAAGAGATCTTTGTTTTGTGAAAAGTATATGGGTACTTGGAAATGTAACTCTATTTTGCCCCTTCGCTATCTGTGTCTTGAACCAAGAGAGAGTAGCCCAGAACTCCATTGTTGAGTTATAGGCCAAAAAGAACCCTTGAGACTTATAATATTGCTAAAGAATCAGTGGAGAGGAATCCAAACATACTGCTTATTAATTATAGACAAAATTAAAAATGAGTACATGCCCTGCCATCTTCAACTGCTAAAGAAATTGAAGGTATTTGAGAGGAGGGATGGAAATGGGATTGCTAGAAACATGATCAATCAAATATGTGAATTCAGATATCTGATGGAAGATACCAAAAGCAGGTCTTTTCACTCCCTCTAGTGCATTACTGTTATGGTTTTCCAGCAATCCAGTCTGTTGATTAGCCCTCTTTGTCTCCATTTTTCCTCCTATTATGGCCTCTTCCTTCACTTGCTTCAGAATTCTTGGGGAAAAAATTAGACTGGATCACTAATATTCCTGAGTTAGGAGCAACAACCATACCCTAGCACTCCAAGATGATTCAAGAATATGAGTACTTAGCCTTTTGTAACAGAAGGATTCTTTTGGTTGGAAATGACTCCAAATCTATCTTAACTGAGCTCACATAATAAAGGATATGTATTAAGAGGTAGTGCTAGTTTCATGCAAACCCTGATCCAGTAGGCCAACTGTGACTGTACCCTAAGAAGTGATGAAAAGTCGTCACCATTGGGCTCTATGCAAGTTTTCCTCTCCTATTCTCAAACTCTTTAGCTTTAGCCCTTCCCTCTTGTGGCATGGTGGGTGCAACCATTTCACATCTCATGTCCTTTCACATTATCCAGTATAACAAGAGTCTCTTAGATAGACTCTATACAAGATCTTTCAGGATTTGCTTGCTTTGAGGGAAATCTTGGAGGCAGAAGTGTGTAATGGATAAGTGTGTAATGGATAAGCAGTGAACAAATGTCTGTTCCACCAGTATTTGTTTAGAGCTCAGTGTGGCCTTCGCTCCTCATTCTCAGTCCCAGCTCTGGGCTGGTTGTTTAGGCTTGGAGACTTTTTTTTCAAGGAAGTAGAATGATGCCAAATCCTGGCTTTTCGAGGAGAAGCCCTTCCAAATATCTAAAGTGAAATGCTTTTTTGGCACTGGGAATTGAAAGGGGGGGGGGTACTTTACCACTGAGCTACATCCCCAGGCCTTTGTTTTTATTTTGAGACAGAGGTTCACTAAGTTATTAAGGCTGGCCTGGAATTTGTGATCCTCCTGCCTCAGCCTTCCTAGTCACTGGGATTACAGGTGTGTACCACCTCACTGGACTTAAGTTGAATTACTTTTTATTTAGGATGGTTAATAAAAATTTGATAGTGATATGACGCCTTAGAACAGGAATCCGCAAACTTTCTGAAAGGATCCAGATGGTAAATGATTTGCTCTTGTTATTTTAGTACTAGGGGTTGAACCCTAGGGTGCTTTACAACTGAACTATATTCCCCCATCCCCCCTACCCCTGTCCCTGCCTTTTTATTAATTTGAGACTGGGTCTTACTTAGTAGTTAGGGCCTCACTAAGTTGCTGAGGCTGGCCTTGAACTTGCAGTCCTCCTGCATCAGGCTCTAAAATCACTGGCAGAAAGTAAATGTTTTAGGCCTTGCAGGCTAACTCATATTTTAAGGAGTCAACTCTATGTCATAAATTTTCAACTGTGCCATTATAATTTGAAACCAGCGTAGATGGTACCAAAGTGAATAGGCATGGCTGTGTTCCAATAATGCTAGTTTACAAAAATAGGACTTGGGCTGGGTTTGTCAAACAGCCAGGTTTTACCTAACCCCTGGTTTAGAAGAAATGTTAGAAGGTGTCCTATTTTATTTGCAAGACTACTTTTTTAAATACTTTAAAAAATCAACTGAAATATAGGTACAAGCAGAAGGTCATGGCCCATAAGATTGGACAGGAAAAACACATATGGGAATTATTTATATTTGGCCAGTTTTTCTTGGAATGGGCTAAATACACCTGATAGGCAGAAGTAGCCTTAAATGAGAGCTGTGCAATTCCATTAATAAGACATTGTAAGAACAGGCAAAACTAGTCTGTGATGAAAATAGATCTAGATTGCCTGGGAATGGAGTATGCAGATTGGGAAGAAAATGAAGGAACTTTTTTTCGTGATAATGTTGTATGTGTCTTTGAAAGGGCTTATATAGGTATGTTCGTTTGTCATAACTATCTATGGCACATTTCACTCTGTGTAATTTTACCTTAAAAATGATAAGCAATGCTGGGCGTGGTGGCACACACCTGTAATTCCAGCAGCTGGGGAGACTGAGGCAGTAGGATTTCGAGTTCAAGGCCAGTCTCAGCAAAAGCAAGGCACAGGGCAACTCAGTCAGACCCTGTCTCTAAATAAAATACAGAAAATAGGGCTGGGGATGTGGCTTAGTGGTCAAG